AGTAAAATCCTGGTTGACCTTACCACCTCCAGGAAGCCCTCCCTGGCTTCCCCCATTATACAGCGCATTATCACTGTAAGTAACTTTGGCATAGAGTCTCTCTCTGCCGGCCAGGCTAGCCTCAAAACAAGAGCTTCTCCCCTCAACACCCAATTTCAGGGCGAGCTGCCATTGCCTGGCTTGATACCCTCTCAACAGACTTCATTTTTCTCTTGTGTTTTTTTTTTGTTTGTTTATGGAGACAGGGTTTCTCTGAGCTTTGGAGTCAGTCCTGGAACTCGCTCTGTAGACCAGGCTGGATTTGAACTCACAAAGATCCGCCTGCCTCTGCCTCCCAAGTGCTGGGATTAAAGGCGTGCGCCACCACTGCCCGGTTTCATTTACCTTGTTAACAGTTATTATGTGGCAGCGTTATGTGGCTATTTGTGGTATGTTTTCCCCCAACTACACCAGCTCTGGAAGGGAGAGGAATCTGTCTGGCCCTCCGGGCAGGCATGGTAGCAAGTCTGTAATTGCAGGGGTGGAAGGCAGAGAGAGGGAAACCTCCAGAGCAAGCTGGCTGGTAGGCTAGCCCCATCAGTGAGCTCTGGGTTTGACAAAGTGACCCTGACTCAAAGACTACAGTGAAAGTGGGTGACAATTCTGATATCAGCAGGGCGGTGGTGTCACATGCCTTTAATACCAGCACTGGGGAGGCAGAGGCAGGCGGATCTCTGTGAGTACGAGGCCAGCCTGGTCTACAAAGCTACTCAGAGAAACCCTGTCTCCAAAAACAAACAAACAAACAAACAAACAAAAAACCGAAAACAAACAAAAAAATGGAAAAAACAAAAACCCAACTCCAATATCAACTTTGGGTTTCTCCATGCACACACATACATGCATGCAAACACGCACGCCTACACACTTGTACACAACACACGGACACAAATAAAATTGTTATCATTGTCCTGGTCCGACCGGACCACTTCACAGAAAGGTAAAACTGAGCGCACAGGTTGGGCTTCTGGCCGTTTCCTGGCTCCCACATCCCCTCTACCTGAGTTACAACTCCTGACCTTGACTTACTAGGCCCACAAGCTTGTTTGTCTTCCATCCTACCCATTCATTAACTTCCCAGTTGCCAATGGGTAAAAACTATACACAGGCATAGGTCGGGCATAGACACGGTTCAACACCTCACTCTTTACTTGCTGTGCTGACTTCAGGAAGGTAAATGAACCTCTCTGAATCCATCGTATGAATGCCTAGCGAAGGGGCCAGGGAGATGGCATTGTAAAGATGCCTGCTGTGCAAAACCCCACAACTTGACTTCAATCCCGAGAACCCAAAGTGGAAAGAGAGAGAGAGAGACTTCTAAAAAAGATAATCCAGAGTGAAGGCTGAACAGGAATTGAGCAGGAGGCAAAGTCCCCAGGGCAGCTCTTCCAGCTTGACCTTGAGAAGTCACCAGACTTCTCCAAGTCTTGGATTTACAGTGGAGAAGCAGTACGGAACTCCAACTGTTGACCGTTACTCCACAAGCTAGCCATGCACTCCAGGGACACCACAGCAAGCAATCTGCCCATTTTGCTACACTGAGATCCCACAGAAACCCTCAAGAGGGGGAAACTTACTACTTTTCACCTGTGTTTGGCAGGAGCAGAAGTGAACTGGGACTAACCTACTGGGATGACACCACCCAGTGACAACACTGTGATTAACACTCAGCCTGGACTCTGCCTCCAGGCACTACCCAGGACAGAATTCCCGCCCCCATCTCTCTCTCTGTCTCTCTCTCTCTCTCTCTCTCTCTCTCTCT